AGAGACAAATAACACACAGTTCCATGGCGGTTGTTTTGTGGGAAGTGAAAGAATCAAACAACTCTTGTTTGAAGATCTTCCAAATTTAAAAGTACATGCTAGTGTGTTTTCATTTTAGTTTTAGACAGCATATTATCAACAGTAAAGCTAACCAGTGTTGTTTTGTCCTTTAGCCTAGCAAAGGATGCATTATTGAACAATGAAATCGAAGAAAAATCAGAGGTAGTCCCTTTTTTTGTCTTAAAACTTTTATGTAGCCATATATATTGAAAGTGTTTAGTAGATGATGTGTATTTTCAGCCATAATAGTAACTTTTAAATAACCCACAGGGCAATAATACACAGCTTTCAAACATAGTACCCACTTTCAAATATTTAGATGATAGGTTTTAAAAATGGTAATCATATTCTTAATAAGGAATTTTTAAACAGCAGCCTTTTCCCTCTCTGTGTCAGTAGCACAATGTTCTAATTACATCTTTTAACGTGGAGGAAGAAAAACCTCAGACCTGGCTGCAAATTGGCCCAGGCCTTGAAGGTTGCTGGAATCCATTCATGTCTTGCAGAGAGGAAGGTGCAGGAGGGAGGGGGGGAAATTTCACCTCAGAGGGAAGCAGGTAGAAAATAGCAGTGCTGAATGTAAAAATCTGGGGCAGAATTTGGTACCACCTGTTGCTTAACCTGCTTGGGAGTGCGTGCCATCCCTCAGCTGCACACCATTTCTGTCTGTCCCAGTGCACGCTTGCTCTTTTCCCTCCCTCACCTGTCTAGTCCACTTGCTTTGTCTCCATCTACCCTGGAGCAGTTACTTCCATCTGGCTTACTTTTTATCATGTTGCTGATCTCGATCTTGGGTGCCTCCACACCTGCATGTTTCCGTCTTGTGTTTCTGTGGCAATGCTGGTCTTTGGTCCCTGTCAGGGATCCAGCTTCTGTGGGAACCTTGAGGGAAAATACGACAATGCTATGCAATATATTGTGCTCTTTTCTTTTAGACGCGTTTGGTGCCCACTGTATGTGAAGAGCAAGGAGCAGCATGCATTTCAGAAAGGTAAAAGTAAAGTTTGATCTTTCACAAACTAAAGTGTGAATGAGTTTGTGCCTATTTAAATCCTATGCAGTGAGTGCAAGTGAACCTCTAGATTTTTGCAAGTCTTGGGGGTGGGGTGAAGCATAGGGCCATCGGTTCTTTGGACTGGGAGGCAGCCAAGGGCCTCTCTTCTCTGGATCATGCAACAGGTGGCAACCCCAGAGAAATGGATGGCTGCTCTAAGGGTTGGAAGCAGTCTCCTGCTCTTGGTGCCATGTGCTCCAGGCCTGTGCAGAGATCCCCTCCCCAGCAGAGTTGTCACCTGATCCTTAAGCAGGAACTGCAGGCCCAGGAGGATCCCCAGATTGTGCCACAGCTCCACCCAGAGCAGAGCTGCCCTGCCGAGAATAGAGAGAGAGAGCAGGTCCCCCGACTCCTTGTTGAGACTGGGTCAGAGCTGTCAAGCGCAGAAAACCCAGGAGTCCAGGCGGTTCAAGGGAACGTAGAGGCTTATTGCAAGCTTAAGCTCTCTACAAGGATCTGAACCACTAACGGTCAAAGCAGGTTGGGGGAGATAAGAGCCAATGGAGTTCAAAGGTGGCTGGACTTGGATCGCTTGTGAGTGTAAAGGGTCCAATGACCCCCCTTGTTTGGCCCCTTTCTCTCTCAGGCTCAGCCTGGTCACCCCCTACACCTCCCAGAGCCTCCAGGCACTGAGCCAGCAGGGCAGAAGCATCCCCTGCCTGGCCAGGGTGAGAATGTCAAAGAGAGGAAGAGCCCTCCAACCCTCTGTGCTACAGGCGTGGGGGTATAGGACCCCTCCCCACAAAACCCCATAGGCTGCAGCAATTAACAGTCAAGTAATTAAAGTGCTTTTATTGCTTTTCAGCCTGCAGATGAAAGGGTTTGTGAGAGAAACAAATGCTGATCTTCCTGGAAAGCAGGACACTGACGCTGCTTTAGCTGCAGACAGTGAAGGAACTAAAAGGCCAGTTCCAGAAAAAAGATTTAGTTCAGAGTTTGAAGCCTGCTCTAAGAGCCCGGCCCTGGGGGGGCTTGGAAATCAGCAGGAGGAAAGTGTGCCAGTGGCCAGCTGTGAAGGACAACCATCGCCTCTTGAAGAAGACAACCCAGTTTCTGGCCTAGAACCTGAAGCCTGCCCAGGAGGAAGCAGCTCTGCCAGCCTTGGGAAGCAGGCGGATGGATACCTTTCCGAGGCACAAGAGGAAGGCCCTGCGTTGCTGTTGGCTGCAGCCACTTCAGAACTCTATAGCTCCAAAGATAGTAGCATCAAGGGTTCCGCACATCCAGAAAACCCCAGTTTTGTAGCTGCTGAAAGCAAAGCCGGTTTGCCAGTCCCAGAAGGTGCTTGTGCTGAGCATGACGGGAGCACCGCTGGGTGGGAACTCCCAGTCAGTTCAAGCGATTCCACGGTGCTGGAAGCAGCAAGGGATGCAGGTGCTCTGAGAAACAAAAGTGATGTTGGACTTTTAGTTTGCAGGTGTGAAAGAACCGAAGATGCCTTTGCTTTAGGAGCGTCAGCTCCTTCAGTCGGTTCTGCAGATCTTGCAGGCGAAGGAGGTGAGGACAGAATTGAAGATGGGGACAAAGCCATGTCTTTAACTGCACAATGTGGAGGAAGTATCTCTGAATTGGTTGGTGATGAATCCTCCATTGCTGAGCTTTGCACCTTTTCAAAAAACTCTCCGACTGGAATGGTGAGGTATCCTCTTGGAAATCCAGCTGCAGATGAGCATGAAGGAAGTCCTTCTTCATCAGCTGTGCAAAACTGTATGACTCCAGGTTTGCAAGAAAATTTGTTGGAGAGCTCTTGTGAAAAGGCAGTTTTTGACAAGCAAGAGGCAGAACCCACCCAGCTTGGAAGCAATAAAAGCAGTGCTTGTCCAGAGTGGACTGGCTCTGATGTCCAGGCAAAGGTGGCCAGTTTAGAGGAAGCTCAACTGGCAGGTGTGAACACGGATTCTACTCTGCTGGCATCCAATGAGGAAGAGGTCAGCTTTGAACAGTTCTTGCGAAGAAGGGGAGAGCCCGACTCCGCCCATTCCGATGCAAGCGAGCAAGGCAGCATTCACCTGGAGCCGCTGACTCCCTCCGAGGTGCTCGAGCACGAGGCCACTGAGATCTTGCAGCAGAAGGGAGGAGTCCCAGCCTCAGCCAAGAAAACCGGGCTCACTTCTGAGCCAGCTGACCTTTCTTCTGGAAGCAGCAGCCCGAACCAAGAGGACTTACCCAGTAATCAGGAGGAAGCCAATGATGAAACCAGCTGAAGGAGGAACACTTTGCCTTGCCAACACAGACGGTGGAAGATAAAACAAGCAAGGCAGGGGTGAAGCTTGTCCATTGCAAATTAGGTAGGTAGGGAGCCCAGAAGAAGCCTGTGACTGTTTACAATATGTGAACCCAGAGGAAAAGATGTTACTGGATTCAAAGGAAGGGCTCTTACAGAAGCCACTTTTTTTTTTCTTTTTTGGAAAAACGAGTATGTACCAGAAGAACACTCAAAAGGGCTGAGGGTTGCATTCCCACCCCATCAATGGCAACAGTCTGGGTACCTCTGGATCAGTGTGATCTTACAAGAGGCCGAGTTCAACTTAAAACTTTCAGTGAAAGTGGATGGTTATAAATATACTTGTGAGTTTCCCTGTGTGCAAGCAGAACAAAATCGTACATATCTGTTTGTAGGAAAGGTGAGCCCTGGCTCTTCCTTTGGGGCAGTCACGCTTTTATTCTTTCTGTTAACGGCAGGCCCAGAAAATACAAAGTGGCTTGAAAGAAACACAAAGTTGAAAAGATGTAATCTGTTACCAAAAGGAGGAAGAAGAAATTTGGAAGCATTTAAGTCAGATACTGAAGGGGGATTTTAGATCTAAATTAATGTCAAATAAATGGAAAGGGTGGGGTGGGGTGGCATGAAAATCCTTTTGATATACTGTAGCTAGTGAAGGAATGTATAACATGGTTTAATAGTTTGCATTTTCAATATTAACACTTAACTAAAATGCCCTTTAAATCTTGTAGAAAGTGATTATGAACTTGAGGTTTGTTTTTATGAACTTAAATGTTTTGAATTTCCGTTAAGACACCAATGTACATATTTTGGAGTAAATATTTGCAAGAAACTATTACAGGTTTTGTTCCTTTTCATGAGTATGTTTTTGAAAGTGGTTTGTGGAGTGGTCACCCTCAGCAGGCCCCCAGGCTTTCCCCCCCCCAGAAGGAAGGCATTTAGAACCTGCCTTAAGATGGGTTCATGGGTTAAGGCGCCGCACATTCGGAGGCAAGGCTGCACAGCTGCTTTCGTTGGCCCTCAGGCCCCCCAGCTATTGAGGAAATAGGAAGAGGGCCACGCAGGTCTCGGGCTGGTCAGCGGTGAAAAGAGAAACCCATTGCTGGGAAGAGTCGGGTGGTGCGGCTGAGGGGAACCTTTGCACCTGGCTGTTGCGGAGCAGCAGTGCGGGTGTGGGTGTGTGCACTGGAAGGATGAATAAGCTACCCAACCTACAAATTCTGACTGGCTACAAATAAAGCCAATAGGACAATAAAACCCAACAACATGAACATGGAGCCCCTGCAGGCCACGGACGGAGGGCTACAAAGGAGGGAGGGCGGCCTGATCCCGGCCTTGCAGGGGCTCCATGATCCCGGCAGGCGCCACCCCCCCCCCCCCCCCGCGCATCGGAGCCTGCAGCCGCCCACTTGCGGGCAAGCGTGTCTGGTATCGCCGGAGCCAAGAGTCCCAGCGCCTCGGATCCCCCGCAGCTTTGCCGAGGGCGGACGGGCAACCCCACTCCCTTCCCGGCGCATCTACAGGGGGTTTCCGGGAGTGTCGGCGAGCACAAGGACCCGGGCGGGGGGGGGGAACTGGAGCAGCCGAGGCGCAGTTGCCCAGAGACGCAGCGCGCTCCCCTCCGTGGTTTCCGCCGGAAGCGCCCGTTGCTAGGCAGCGCGGCGCCCGCTCTCTGTCCTCGGCCGCCGCCCGGCCGCCCTCTCCGCGCCTGCAGCCCAGGACGGGCGGCTTTCCGCGGCCATGGCGCAGAAGCCGAGCCGGCGGCAGCCCACCGCGGCGCAGCTGATGGACCGCAAGCAGCACGAACTCTACTTCCAGCAGATGCGGGAGCTGGAGCACCGCAAGAAGCTGGATCGTGTCCACCAGCTGGAGGTGATGTGGGAGGCCGAGGACCGCGTGCAGCAGAAGCGCGTCACGCGGCTGCTGCGGGAGGAGGAGCACGAGCAGCGCATGGAGGAGGCCGTGCACAAGGTGGGCGCGGACGGAGAGCGCCGGGGACGCGGCTGGAAGGAGGGCGAGCCTTCCCTGGTCAGCAGCGGGAGTTGCAGGCGGCTCTCCTCGCGGTCCTTGCCCCCACCCCACCCCGCTTCATTGCTCCTCAAAGAGAAGGAGCGAAAACCCAGGGGCCCCCCTCCCCGCAAAGGAAAGCATACTAGTCAAATATTAAGGTAATTATTAATGTTAAAGCGTTGCCTGACCAATTATCCGCTCTTGCGCTGCACATTTGATCAAGTAGTTCCATTTCCTGGACGGTTTTGTAGGCGTTCTTATCGACCAAAGCCCATATCATTCATCCTGTAGGCTTGTTGAACCATCAGACAATTGCGGACAAACACACTGAAATGTATGTGATTCTGTGTTTTGTCAGGCGGAAGAAAGTAAAAGGCTAAAAGACCTGGAATTGCAGCAGGAAGAAAAACTGGCAACTGAATTAGCAAGATTAAACCATGACAAACTTAAAGATGAAAAAATGAGGCAACAAATCAAAGAAAATAGGTATTTCCTTTACTGACCATTTTGTGGCTGTGTTGTTTGAGGGTCGTCCTGATGGTTGACCCAGGCAGAAAAAAGCCCGCAGCATATGGAGGAGCTGGAAGTTGTTGCTGGCGCCCATCCAAATGTGACACACACACACACACAGACGGACGGACGGACAGCTTCATTTACAAACACAATTGCAGTGTCCCATGGTCATGACTGCAATTTGCAAATTTCTTTGTTGGTTTTTGGCAACAACTGCCCATTTGGGAGACAACATAGAAACATTGGATTCAGTCACACACGTGCCTCAACTTACAACCAAAGTTCCAGCCTGTTGTGGTCATAAATCAAGGACTGTCTGTAACTTTCCTTAATTAGCTCACACTCCAGGCGCTTCCTACTGTCACCCAACCAGTGCCTTTCATGCTAATTCTTTAGGGTGCTCTTGAATCAATCATCATTTTCATGGTTTTTTTGTCTGTTTGTTTCTAGTATTGAACTGCGTGAATTGGAGAGGAAATTGAAATCTGCATATATGAATAAAGAGAGGGCTGTTCAGATTGCTGAGAAAGATGCTCTGAAATATGAAAAAATGGTAACTAGTTTTATGGAATAATTTTTGGACGCTGATGAAATAAATGTGAGAATGTTGGAAAATGGCAGAAAATGTAACTGAAGAAATATTTATGGGCCAATACATAAAGAACGCTGGTGTTGACTGGGGATATACGTGTAGATGTCTTTTATACGCAGATGATGCTGTGATGTGAGAACCTAAATGATTTGTAACAAACCTTAGATTTTATGATACAGTAGAGAGAACGGATCTGGAAGCTATCTTCTCAGAGAAAAGTGATGTACCTGACAAGGAAGATTAAGTAAATGATTGTTAAGTTATAAGTAAATAGGAGGAAAACAGAGTAAGTAGATGGATTTGTGCCAACAGAAGGAGGATGCAGATATCTACCAAGCAATGAAGGAAGAGCAAGAAAGAGCAGCCAAGGCAGAGAATGCTGTTGAAACAAGACGCAACCAGGAGAAGTTGCTCTATCAGCAAGAACTGGAGAAACAGCTGGAGGAAGAGGAGAGGCGGAAGCAGGTGGCTTATAAGGAGTTCCTTAGAGAGAAACTCTTGATTGATGAAATTGTGAGGAAGATCTACGAGGAAGATGAAAAGTTAGTTTATATTATATTAAACTTTCTGAACTACTCGTACTTTCTTTAGGATGAATTGGCCTGACAATTACAGGTAGTCCTTGACTTACAACCATTCAATAAGTTGGAAGTTATGACAGCACTGAAAGAAAGGACTGATCCCCACACTTACAACCATCACAATGTCCCTGTAACTTACGATCAAAATTTGGGTGTTTGGCAACTGGTGTGTATTTCTAGTTGCAATATGCTCGGTGGGGGTGGGGGTTCAACATGCAAAGTCGGTGGAGGAAACCAGATTTGCTTAACAACTCTGTGATTTTCTTAATGACTGGTAAAAAAAAGGTTGTGATTCACTTTAACAGCCACATCACTTAGTGACAAAAGTTCCAGCCTCAATTTTCATAAGTCAAAGACTACCTGTACCACCATGCTGTGGGTTGGGACTGGCACTTTTTGCTTTTGTATCATAGATTCATCTGCTGAGACTGTGGAGTCTCTGCTTAAATAAGCTCCCATCCCCGAGAAGCAGTCATAACAGGCTGCTTATCCACACCCAGCGCATGCAGCTAAGAGACTTCCAAGTACTCACTGAAAGGGGGGAGGCAATTCAGAGAGAGAGCAGCAAAGCTCCCAGTAGAGGTTGCCAGGCTCCTCCAGGTGCATTACTGAAGCTCTGCACATTTCCCATAGGGCAAGACAAGAGAGACTGGAGAAAAAGAGAACAACGCAGAAATTCATTGAAGAATTCAAAAAAGACCAGGCCCTGCGGAGGAGACGACAGCGTGAAGAGATGGAAGAGGAAAACCAAAAGATCATGGAATTTGCTAACATGTGGCAGGAGAGAGAAGACAACCGAATGGCAAAGATTCATGAAAATGAGGAGAAAAAAAGAAAACTCCAGCAAATGGTATTGACATTGCTATTCTGTCCCCCAGATTTGGTTGGGCGGGAGCTGCCTAAACTTGTCTTTCCTCTTACTTGTAGCTTGCAGAAGTTCTGAAAAAAGAGCAGCAGGAGCGAGAGGAACTTGAGCAAATCCAAGCCGAGTTGCACTTTGAAGAACAGGCTGAGACAGAGAGGAAGAAGGAGATGGTAAATACCTTTGCCTCCAGTCCCAGATTGGCATGGGGGGCCATGGGGGCAGCAAGGAAAGGGGGATGCCCGAGTCCTGCTCTTCTGGCGGAGAGCATAAAAGGCGGTTGGAGCCAAGCTTTTGTTCCGTGTGCAGGAAGAGCTGGAGAAGAAGATCAGGCAGCGCCTAGAGCTCCGGAACTCCTATGAAGAACAGCTGGCTTCAAGGAAGATGCTGCTGCAGGCCTTGAAGGAAGAGGAGGTGGCCTTTGGCCAGGCCATGTTAGCCAAATTTGCAGAAGATGACCGTATTGAGCAGATGAACGCTCAGAAACGAAGAATGAAGCAACTGGAACATAGGAGAGAGGTGGAGAAGCTGATCCAAGAACGACGCAAACAGGTCATCGCAGACAAGGTAAAGTGAATTCCAGAACTGAAGAGGCTGGGAAGGTCATCCACTCCAACCTCCTTCCTAGTATGCAGGTTCTATAACTGATAAGCCTCCAAACTCTGAAGAGCTTGAGGAGGGAGCTACATTTCACATTCCACACTTTGATAGATCATGCCCAGAAGTTCCTCCCGAAGCCTGGCCAGAAGCTCCTTCCTAGTTTATATCTGCTGTTCTCCTCCTGTGCCTTGGAATGTGGAATAAGCTAGTTCCCTCTTTTGCTTACGAGTACTGTGATCACGTCTCCCCTCGATCATCTTCTTGGTCAGTAAAACATATAGCTAGATCCTTTAACCAGTCCGCACAATGCTTCCCCGTCTCCTCTCCTGAATGGCCTCCAAGTGATCACTGTTCAGAACTGCATAGGGGGTTGAAAATGGGGCCTGGCCAAGGCAGAGCTCAGGCTTTTTCTGTAATGATGCAGAGGCTGCACTTGCCTTTCAGCAGCTTCATCACAACTCTGGCTTGTATTTAATTTGCAGTCAACAAGGACACCCAGATCTATTTCACATGTATTAAACCCAAGTTAGTGGTCTCCCAGCCAGTACCTGTCTCTTATATTTTTCTTAACCCAATTCAGGACATTTCCCCATATGCAATTTTAGCTTACTTAATTTTGCCATCTTCATGAGTAAACACAAATTTAGCCATTGTGGTTAGTAGTGGCTACTTTATGCCTCAGCATGCTGAAAGAGATCTGTTGACCTGAAAGAAAGCAGTAACAACAAACCCAGCCTTCTCCAAACCAGGGGTGGGATGCTACCGGTTCTGCCCGGCTCTATAGAACCGGTAGCTCTGAAGAGCAGCAGACACCGAACCAGTTCTGTGTTTGCTGCTGTTTGGCCCACCCGCCTGCCCGGGATCTTACCTGTCCTTTATTTCCTGCTTTTTCAACCTCAGCTGCTTTGCACGACACAGCTGAGGTTGAAAAGGCAGGAAAAAAAGTGGCTTTTCAAACGCCGCACAGCTGCACGCAGCGCTTTTCAGCTGTCCGGGTGGCACAGCTTAAGGATTTTTACACACGTGCACAGCATGCCTCAGGCGCCAAACATAGTCACCGAACCGGTAGTAACACCGGTTGAATCCCACCCCTGCTCCAAACCAGTATTTTGAATAGAACACAAGCTTATTTACACCCGCTGGGCGCTCCAGAAAGACCCGGCTGTGGCATTTGAGTACAGATTGCAGCCTGTATTAAGAACAGCAGCTGATAATTTGTCAGCACGAAACTGCTTTTGAAGTGAAAAGGTTACACGCTTCAATTTTATTACCATAGGAACGTGAACTAGAAGAAAGACAAATAGAAGAAAGAAGGAGAGGAACCATTGCTGACATTATTGAGGAAGAGCGGCAGAAGCTTCTTAAAGAGCATGCAGTTCAACTGCTGGGGTATCTTCCACGGGTAAGTCGAGGCAGCCTAATGACCAAGTGGGAGGCTTGCTGGGGGCTGGGATCGCTTGGACCAGAGCTGTCGCAGGCTGGGCGTCAGGCCCCAGCAGGAAGAGTGTGGGGGCGAGTTCTCTAGTGCCTCTCCCTTTTCCTCTCCTCATGGGGAGAAAATTATCTTTTCCCCAGCTGGGACTGCATTCTTACATGGGTAATTAGACGACCCAAAGATTTTAAATGTTGTGGTGTCACCCAAATCCTGCAGTCCTGCACCCACACTGGGCTCAGGTGCCCTGAAGTGACTAAATGGTTAGAGTATTTTCAGCAGTCTTTCAGTGGGTTTCCACATTAAGTGTACTTGCACTGAATCTGTAGAGCAGATCCTACAGGAGGGCCTGCGGAGCTGAAACCAGAAGTGGCTGGACTGCTTTGCACTTGACTGCAGTTGACTTTTGACAGGGGATTTGTGATAAAGTGGCAGAATCTTTTAGTTCTCATTTGTTTCAAAAAGTCGGACATTTACTGTGCCAGGATGAACTGTTGCTTTGAAGGGAGGGTTTTACATTTAAAATGAAAGAAAAAGGGGGCTATTTTGTCTGTATAATTTTAAAAAGCTGTGCAGTTAAGTAGCAGTTTTGAAAATAGCTCTGATGATGTTCCATTGAACTTTTTTCTTCTGGGGTGTTCAGGGAATCCTTAAAGATGAGCAAGACGTTCATATGCTTGGAGAAGAGTTCCGGCAAGCTTACCAAAAGAGGCCAGGGGATGGGCCGTCAGAAGTCAACTGAGTTTTCATTGCTTCACCTGAAGAGCCCACCTAGCAGTCACCCCAGCCTACAGATTGCATTCACTGCTACACAGACTTTTTTAAAAAATGACTTTTATATTGATAAACTACTTCTTTGACTAGTGTTCCCAGTTTCTTTGCAATATTCTTTTATTTTTTTATTACACGGTTGACCTTTCTTAAGCTCTAGACAGCATAAGTGCCTCCTCCCTGTTCTTCCCCACAACCCTGTGAGGGAGGGTAGGGCTAAAAAAAAAACATAAGCCCCAAGTCATCTAGCAAGTTTCCATGGCTAAGAGTGGATCTGAATTTGGATCTCCCCAATGCCATTCCAGCATGTCAGCTCTGTGCCATACTGGCTGTCTTTTGAGACTCTGTATCTGGATTTAATTTTAGTTGAGAGAACTTGATCTCTCTTTGAAGGCAGATTGATAATTTTGAAAAACAAATCCTTTATAAAGCTACTTCCAATAATAAGGGTGAGCATCCAAATTATTTTTATAGTCTAGAAGTTTAATGACAGCTATCAAAAGAATTGACAAAGGGTTAGATTAACCCTGCTTAGTGATGGAGAATGAGAAAAAGAGCTTATTAGCAAAAACATTGATGGGAAGAAGCAAACAGTGTAAAGCTTATACTCTGCCTTTTCCCCCCAGAAAAAAGTGTGGTTCAATTTCACTCTTCTGAAAATACCCCACATGTTCTGTAGGGGGTTGATGCTGTGTATTGAATTAAGGGTTGCCCCACTCCAGAGCCTTAATGAATTCCTCTTCAGTAAAAGAAAGCATCTTGGCAGATTCAATGTGCATCTAGGGAGAAAGATTATTTTTACTTGAGTAAGAAAAGTTTCTTCCACCCCTCTGACAGAGGTTTTGCTCACTCTCTTTCACTATTTGAAAAATAATGAGAAATACATTGTTTCTTGCAATGTAACACACCCCCAACCCCACCCCGTGTATTTTTGACTGACTGAGAACCCTTGTTGAATGGTCATCCAAAGACAGAAACCAGTTTCCACCTCTCAGCAATATCTTAAGAGGGCCCAAACATGAAGGGTTGCCAACAAGGAACCATTTGAAACTCTGGTTTGTCCCCTTTGGGATCTGAGATGGGAATTAAAACTGATTTTGGGGAGCTTAACATCTTTCCTTTCTTCCCCACCTGTCACCTCCCCCCAAAAACCCTAGCTACAGAGATTCCTTACACTTACTGTGGACTTACTCTTATGTCCAAGTTCATTATTGCTTTTTACCCATAGGCTGGATTTCAGTCAAAACAAATAATGAATTATGCTGCACCTTTAATTTTAATTCAATTAAAGTTACTAATAGCATAAGATAGCTTGCCTTTTGTCTTTTTAAAATGTCAATAAGTTTTAATTGCTTCTTGAAACCTGCCACTAGTTCTTCTTTTTGTTTCTCCAGTCTCTTATTTTCAATTTTTAGTTCTTCAAGTTTTTTATGCTCTTGGTTGACCACATCCTAGCATGAAAGTAAGGATACAGAAACTGTTACATCATTATGAATACATAAGCTCCTATAACTTCCTAACAAAATACCCCATGTGCAATTCATATACAGCCATGCTGTCATGACCTGTTGGAATCTGATTCGGAGGGGGAGGCCGAGCAACTGACGGAGTGTGTGGCTCCGTTGGCTGTGGAAGAAACTGGGGAAGGGCAAAGTCAGGCTGGGCAGAGCAAGGGAGAATTAGGGCAAGAGAGGGTTCAGAGGAGAACCCAGGTCCACCCCCTCTTCATCCTAGGGCGCGCAGGGAGGAATGGAGAAGGGAGCAACGTGAGTTGCATGGCTTACAGGGGAGGAAAGGGCCCCGATTCCCTTCATTAGCTGCAGTTGGGAACAGTGTTTAAAAAGGGAAGCTGTACACAGCAAGTTGTTGGGAGCAAATTGTGAATTATCTGGTTTCGCTGAGGCTTATCTGTGTTCCTGGCGTCTTCCCAACTGTGTGTGTTTTGCTGTGCTTTCAAGTCTGCAGTTCCTTCTGCCCTGTCAAGTTAATTACTGCAGCGTGGTTTGTTTGGATTTTTAGTTAACAGTTTGTATGTACTTTGTTTTCGGACTGAATTTTCTCCACTTAAAAGACTGTTCCTGGGATAGTTTTTCTCCAGCCAAAGTAACCTGGACATTGGGGGCAAAGTTGGAGCTAATAAAGGGACTCTTCTTATTTGACACTGTTGCCTTTGTGCCATGCCCCGGGTCATCACACATGTCTTGAAAGATCTGTGATTCTGTCACCAGGAGAAAGACAGTGTGATGACTCAGGGTGTGGCACAAAGCCAACACAGTCAAATAAGCAAGACTCCGACGGGCATGACAGACAGACTACAATGCATGTGCTCGCAGAATTATTTCATTTGATAACTGATATTGAATACATTGTTTGGAACAGACAAGAAAAGGCCATGCAACAAATTAGAAAGAAAAGAAAGGAAGCTGTAATCATGAAGCTTCCTGGGTGACTTTAGCTTTATCCTATGTGATAGCTGACATGAGGAAAAATTGGAACGATGTTTCCCGAGCAGTTAATAGAAAAAAACAGATGGGTAAGGGGGAGGGGTGCTATCCTAGGCTGATAGGATTTCTTGCTAACACATATCCCCTACCTTGTTAATTTGCTTCAGTTTATTCAGCTCCATTTTGTATTTCTCAGCTTCCTCAAGAGCTCGGTTCAAGCGAATGTCTGTCGTGCTCTGGGTTGCCGCAGCTTGTTTTTGTGCTCGCTTCAGATTCTCCAGTTCCTGTTGTATCAAGTTAAAACATGGCCAAGCCTCCCTTGGCTTCAGAGGAGGAGCCCTTTGGTGCAGCAGCAGGAAGGAGAGCCTCAACATCCAGCTCTGTCTGCCAGCCAGAGACAAAGGTGGTGGTGGCAGCAGTGGCACCTCCCCTGCCGCCTTTTGAGGGAGAACTTCCCACAAACGTCAATACCACTTTTTTATAAACAAGGTAGAGGAGCTTTCCATGGTGCGGATGCTTGCTCTACAGCTATTTATTTCCATTTTTTTCTTACCTGCTTCAGTTCTGGGACATTCATACGGGGTAATTTATGTGTCTTTGGATTAACTTCTTGTGAGCCATTAGAACTTCAAATCATGATTAAACAAATCAAAGCTTAGCATGATGTGCAAGTCTAGCCCCTCTGAGCAATGTCACACTTATCCTCCTAAGGAAGGCAAGAGATGAAAATGGCTTTGTTACCTTTTCTAGCATGGAGAGTTTCTGCTGCAGACCCTCACTTTTTCGGGTGGCTTCCTCTGACAGCAGTTTGTACTTTTCTGCCTGAGACTGGTGTAGGCTGGCTGCGCGTTGCAGCCGGCCACGTTCTTCTTCAACCTCCTTAAGACGGCTGCTGAAATTTTCATTCTCCTCATCCTGCAGGCCCAAAATTAAGAGCCACGAGAGTTGGAGCCTGTTGGGTTAATGCTGTGTTTCTTCTCTGCAACTCTGTCATCTTTTTTCCCCCCAGAATCCCCACTTTAGATCAAAACTTAAAAAAACAAGCCCACAGTCTGTTTGGGTAGTGGTCCTTGGGGCTCAGAGACATTCTCCTCCCTGGAGACACATTTGTGGTTTTCCTTGGGAGGCGGCCTCAGTTCTTTTTCTTCTGGGACATCCCCCACCAACTTCCCTACCAGGCCTTTCCTCACTCTCCTATGTTCTGCAAGGAAAAGCTGCCTTTCACGAGGAAGATTTGTGAATGTGGACGTGCAGAGGAACGTGTGAAAGTATAGTAGACCACCATGAAGTACAATCCATGACTTAACACAAGCAAGTCAGCATCTGCTCTTACCTTCTTGCTACATTCTTGCCCAATGGCATCCAGCTCCTCCTGCATCACACGCAGCTTTGCCTTCAGGAACCGGATCTGGGCCTCTGCAAGTTGGCAACAACTCCATATAACAATCCAGTTTATGTAGAATCTACAATTCTAGAGCCCATGTTACAACAGCCCTGTTTAAACCCCCCCCCCCCAAAATATTTTTGGGGTAGATTACATAGGCATATTTTGAAACATGGCAATTTCAAGAAAACCATTTTCCCATTATAAAAAGAAAGGGATAATTTGTGAAAAGCAAATTAGCGCCCAGCAAACAGCCGCACTCGCCTGCTCCAAGTTCACATCCTGTACTTGGGATAAGATTATCTTCCAGATCAGGCAGGTTTCCTTCTTCCAGCTGCCCTTCAATTCTCCCAATTAGTTTTGTCAGGGAGCACCCTGAAGCAGCAACATCAGTATTGCTTTGGTCAACCTGTAATCTTGATTTTGTACTGGAAAGTTGAAAGTAATATGAAGAGGAATACGGATGACTAGGAAACTGTAAAAACAACACTGCATGCTTGTGCATATTTGATCCAATATAAGTAACCTTCTCTACTCCTAGAACAGCATTTGTACAAAACAGTACAACAAAACATAGATGCATATTAAAATAGTAACATGGAGCTAATCTGTGTGAAGTGTTTTGATCCTCTTTAAATCTGAACCATCTAACAGGCAAGAAGATTGAAGAATGTTTTGCAAGTTTTATAGATGTTTCTACAAAACTATCTGCCAACAAAAGGGGTTGCCCGAGAGAGCCTCACGGCGCATGCGTGCACACTACCCGCCTGACAGCTGATTGTTGGGTATCTGGCGTGCATGCGCGGGGGCGAGGGATGCACAGGAGACACACATGCACGCACAGACACGCAGTGTGCGCACGCATGCACAAAGATGTGTGGCTCATGGAGAATCGTGCACGCATGCGCAGAGGTGTGCACGGGTAGCACATGCATATGTGCAGGGCGCATGGGGGGGTCATGCGTGCATGTGCAGGGGGCACCGGGGGCACTGTGCACATTGCCTTCTGGGTGCTGGCATGCGAGCACGTGCACGCAAACAGGTACACAATTATCAGCCCAGGAGCCCAAAAAAGTGAGCCCCCACTGTCCTATACCTTAAGAGAGGTCTTTTCCCCTTCCTTCCAGTCAGTGGCCGACTTCGAATTGTAGGGGCCGCGCTGGCTTTCTTCTTGGGTAGCTGCTAGAGAAGCCAGACGAACTTTTAGATCCTTGGTAGGCCGGGTGCTGCTTAAAGCGTCCTTTATTTAAAAATGGCTATTTAGAGGAGCTGTTAAAAGCATGAGTTGGGCTCCTTCCCCCTCTGGGGCCCAGGCTCAGCCTTAGTGGCAGAAGGCGCAGTTTGCTGCCCAGATAGTTCACTGTGGGAGAAACGCCCAGGACGAGGCTGGCCTAGAAACCCTTCAGCTTCCCCCCACAAGGGAACTGGAAACTCTGCTCCGGTAGTACCTTGTTCTGGGCAACAGGAACTGACGGTTCGGGAGAACTGACGTCCCTGGAAAGAAGCAGCGGAGAGGAGGAGCACGTCGCCCTCAAGGCCAGCCTTCTCTCACCTCCATGAAGGGACGGAAGGGCCCCCCTCCTTGCCGTCTGAATTACCCCCCTACAAACACGCCGGCTCCGGGTGAAGAGTGGGCAGCGCGGGGCCTCCCCCGTTGGCCTCTGCCTGCGCCGGGGGTGGGGAAACGGGGGCGGGGAAATCAAGGGGCGATGCGGAGGCCGCGGGGCGACCTTGCTGAAGCGAAGCTGGAGCGCCCCCTCCCCACGCGGGGCTCAGCCGGCATACCTCTCCTTGGTCGCCGCCGCCGCCTCCAGCGCGTCCCCGCGGGCAGAGACGGGCCTGGCCAGGGCTTCCCGTCGGTCCCTCTGCAGAAAGGAGGTCGGCCGTCAGAAGCGCCCCTCCGGCCGCCAGAGCCGGCCCCCGCCGCTCCCGCCCCGCGCTCACCATCAGCTCCTCCGCTTGGCGCATCACCGCCGCCGCCTCCGTCTCCAGGGCCGCGTTCAGGCGCCTGCAACGAGACGGGGCGGTCAGGGCGGGAGGGGGCCGGGCGCCCCCCCCCCCACGCCCCGACCACGACCTACCTGTACTCCTCCTCGCGGGCCAGGAGGGGGGCGGCGCTACGAGGCCGAGGCGGCCGCTCCCCCGACGACTGCCCAGCCGCCGCCATGGCCCACCGTCGCTAGGCAACCGCGCCGCTCCCGGCGTGCTCGCGCTTGCTTGACGCGGCGCACGCTGGGAGTCGCAGTCCGCCAGGTCGCCCCTCCCTGTCCTCGGGTTCTGCTCTCCGGC